TGGCACTGGGAGGCAGCAGTCCTCAGAGCCACAGCTGGCAAAGGCTTAGCTAGGGTTCACTTCTCAGTGTCCAGCTCAAGACTGAGTTTCCTGACCTGCTGATGGATGAGGGTTAGGGCTGGACAAACTGGATAGCACCATCCTGTGGAGAAGCCTCCGGCTGTCCCCTGGGGTAATTAAAGCATCCCCAACACAGCCTGTTATACTTTCTCACTCCCACTGCAGGGGACAACACCTCCAGATGAGGACAAGTGGCACCTAGGAAATTGAAAGCCAGAACAGGAACATGGAGCTTGCCTTTCCTGCTTCCTGCTGCCCATGGCTGCCACAGGCTCCTCTTCAGCCCCCGCCCCCAGCAGTGACGTGTGCTATGCTGCGTTGGCTGTGTGGGCAGGTGGTGCACATCCCAGGGGCCCCATGCCCGCCTCCACTGCTGCATCATCAAACCTCCAGCAGAGAGGCTCACACAGCCTGAAGATGCTGTGTTTAGAGCAATGGCTCAGCTAATCTCCAAGGGAGGCAGAGCGAATCAGCACAGCAGCAGTGGGGTGAGCTCTGGAATGTTCCAGTGTGGTTCTTCCACAGGCATCTAGGGGCAGATAGGAGGGGGAGGGCAGGCTGATCCTCACAGGTGCTTCCAGCCTGGAGTACCAGTTCCAGGCTGATGCTTAAGCCTCTTTCACAGATGGGAATCGGCAAGCAGGCTGGGCAAGCATCTTGTGACTGTGTCAACATGAGTCACCTAACAGTCAAAGGGCCACATCCCTCTCACCACTGGCCACTGACCAGCCTTCCAGTCCAGCCAAACCACACCCTCTGGTCTCCATGGTGAATGCTATAGAGACAGCCTGTGTCCCACAATGCATCTATCTACCTATGTCCGCAAGGCATCTCTCTACCCACCTGCTCACTCCAGGTCCTGGGGCCACCCCCAGCCTGGCTCACAGCACTCATGCCAGGATTACAGTGCTAGGCAGGCACAGCCAGGGGCCAACCTTGCCGGCACCTGTTGCTGCCAGGTCACCCTGAGATTCAGTAACCCAGATATAGGTTCACCTATGTTCCAGATGGGCACTGAGATGAAAGCTGGTCAGGAACTGTCCCACGACCCCCTTTGTTTATCAGCTGGCCAGTTGCTCACATCTGCCTCAGACAGCTGGAAGTGGCTGAGCCTCCAGGGAGTGCCAAAATAGCATTCCTGACCCCAAATGAGCTGCACAATGTGGCCTTAGTTCACCCCTACAGGCCACTCACCAGAGCTGCCCTTACTCTGTGCTATGGGCTCTCTACTCAGGGCCTCCTGCACACCGCCCCAGAGGAGGCGGGGGTGGCAGGATCCCACCCATGGGACCTCACACCCATTCACAGCAACTGGCCCCTGGATGGGCCATATCTTGTCTTTTGTCCTCAGTTTAGCTACTCAAAGGGCTGCTTTTCCAGGAGACAATCACGGGTAAGGACAGAGCAGGAGGTGCCTCTCCAGCCAACACACTGGTTCCTCCATCACAGTCAGGGGCCTGCCACCCTCAGAAGACCCAGCTCAAAGCCACAGCTCAGTCCCTGTGGCTCTCTTTCCTTTCCTAAGGGACATCTTGAAATTACCAACACTGCAGTCTTTCACTAGATCCTGAACTTGAATGTTCTCAGATTTCTCCGAAAGCACATAGAATAGAGACACAACCCCTGACACACATAAAGAACACGGGCTGGCAAACCACTCTGTGAGGAAGGCTCTGCACACACACAAGGGGCTCAGGAAGCCCATCACATATACTTATGTGTATTACTGTGCCTGCTCACATACATGTGCAGACATATACACACACCCACACAGGGGTGGATGCATACACAAATACCCTTGAGATATTGACTCTTGCCCCTTACAGGAGGAAGTGGGCTGAAGTGTGGCTGGCTGTACAGCATTACTTAGCACGTGTGAGAAAGGCCCTGGCCTCTATCCCCAGCAGCATTAAACAGGGTATTGGAAGCCAAGCATGGTGGCATACATCTCTCATCCCCACGCTGGAGGCAGAGGTCAGTGAGTTTGAGGTCAGCCAGGCCTTCACAGTGAGACCTTATTTTATTTTACTTTTTTTTTTTTTGTTTTTCGAGACAGGGTTTCTCTGTAGCTTTGGAGCCTGTCCTGGAACTAGCTCTTGTAGACCAGGCTGGCCTCGAACTCACAGAGATCCGCCTGCCTCTGCCTCCCGAGTGCTGGGATTACAGGTGTGCACCACCACCGCCTGGCTTGAGACCTTATTTTAAAAGGGAAGGGATAGGAGCCTGGGCACAGCTCAGTGGACGAGCACTTGTTAAACACACGCGAGGCCCTGCATTCAGTCTTCTTCACCACAGAAAACAAGGAGGAAAGACGTGGTGGTGCCGGTAGAGGGGAGCAGGCAGCAGGGCGCACTGCACTTCACCCTGCCCTTTCCTGCTCACCCACAGTCTAGAGTCAACACAGCAGGAAAGCCCCAGAGTCCCAGACCCCCTGTAGCAGAGGGGAGTGAGAAAGAGATGGGGAGGGGCGGGGAGCTCAGGAGCCTGTCCCCACTCTCCCTTCACCCTGTTTCTGCTCTGCAAACCTTCAGTTTTTCCCTCTGGTACTCCACTTCCTCCTGACTCTGGTCACAAGAAACCTTTGGCCACTACACCCTGGCCTGGGGCCAGAAGCAAAATCTGAAAACAGGGGTGAGGTTCTGCTGCCCCTCTGTATGATTATTTCCCAGATGCCTGTGGGAGACCGGGGAGGGGGGAGCTCGGAAGACTTTAAAGGGAGCACTGGGGAGGCAGGGCTGATGGTTCAGGTATGAGGCTGTGCCCCAATGGCATATGATAGCGGGAGCTCCCCAGCCTCAAGCCAGGCCCAGCACAAGCGACTCCAGAAGCCCTGGTACTAGCTCATCAACAGTCTTCAAGTGCCAGGTGTACAAGGGAGACGCAGAAACTTCCCCAGCCATTACTCTGGCATGACTGGACAGCCACCTGATGGTACAACCTCCAGTCACCTGGGTCAGTCCCAAGCGGCCTCTCCAGCCTCCTGCCTGTGGCAGCACTGGGACAAATCTTGGGACTCCAGCCCACGACTACATCCTCCCCGCTTCTAGCTTTCCTTCCCCTCTCCAGCAGTGTGAATGAGACCATGTGCTCCAGATTGTACAGTAAGAACACACACACACCACCTCCACTGAGAACAGCTCTGGACCTGAGGGCTGCTCCTCTTGGAACAGCTGCCCAAAGGCTGGCTAGTACTGGCCCCAGGTCACCGCAGACTCTGACAGTGCCAGTTCCCCACACGTGCTAAGGGCTCTCCATGTTGGAGGTGTCCTGCCCACCATTCCATTGCTTCTCCCTGTCCAGAGTATACAGAGGTATGGTGAGCAGCAAAATGCCAACATGAACCTCGAAGGAGTCCCCAGGTCCTTAAGCACCTCTCTGGAGGGAAGCAAAGAAGAGTCTCCTCCCTGAGAAGATGGAACACCGTTAACTTCAGGCTGAATGAGATAGCTGAGTCCTTGGTGCAGTCTAGAGGACAGAGGTCCAGACAGGGGCAGAGGACTCAGTGAAGGAAGAGCAGCAGCAGGTGGAAGAGACAAGAGATGCAGGACACAGGGCCACAGGAGCCCTGTTCACCTCTGCTCAAGGTGACAGGACCGCTTAGAGCCCAACCTGGCTCCACCTTCCCTGGCTGTCCCTGCTTCAGGGACTCTTTACCCCTTCGCTCCTAAGTACAGTCTCACCTCAGTGATCTTGCTCCCCACCACTGGTCCCATAACCTAGAGAGTAACAGTTAAGAGCATGAAGCACCAGACCAGTGCATCTGGGGAGGAATAAGAATAGGTGTTGGTGTGGGTGAAGAATTGCTTACCAACCAATAGGGGCTCAAATCTCAGCAACCGCCCCGTGCCTATGGACTTGAACCCCTGTACTGTACACCCATAACCATTTGCCCTATTTTGTCTGCCAAGCATGCCAGTTTCAGGACAGCCCTCAGACTATCCTTAGTGCCCTGGGCCACCTGTCTTCCTTCTAGATCCTTCCTGCAGGTCTGCAATAGCCAGGTGCTCCTTCCTAATGTCCCCAAAGAGTCAGGGCAGCTACTAGGCATGAGATGAACAGATACCTACCACCTTGCTCAGTGAGCAGCCAAAGAGGTACAGTGAAGGAAGCCACCACCTGGTTGGCCAGATCAGCCCAATCTTCCTGCTGGACCGGCCAGGCAAGGAAGTGCCAATCACTCTGTCATTGTCCCTAGCCCCCATTCTAATACCCACTGCACCCTAGTTCCTTCCTAGGACCACCTGATCACAAGCAGGAAGCACCACCGGCCAGAAATGACCGGAGATAGCCTCATTCATGGCATACACACCTCACGGGAGGGAAAGAGGCTCTGGAAAGGTGACAGGCTACAGCCCTTCTAACAGGTTGCTTTCAAGGCGAAACTCAGCAAACTGTGCTGTCTCTTAAGATAGAAGCAGGCCTGCGGGAGGTGCAAGGCGGTTCGAGTCCCATCCCAGTGAATGACAGACCACCCCAGGAGTGGTGGAACCCAAAGTGTGGCTCAGCCTCTTCCTTGGTCCAAGCTCACTGGGTGGGTGGAGGCAGAACCTGGATTTCAGCAGGGAATGTGCAATCACCCGCCAATGTGTCTACCAAAAGGCTGTCAGCGCTTCTGCAGGGCAGGATCCTTCCAGCTCAGCATTTCAACGCCTCGGGGAGCCCCCGCCCACGGCTGACCAGACCGCCGGAAGCAGCAGGGACTGAGTGTGCCACAGCAGGGTAGGGGGCTTCGTGCCACCTGCACCACTCTACTTGTAGGCTCCCCAGGGCACTCTACGCCCCGGCCTGCATGCGCCAGGTTCTGCCCGCAGCGCACCCAGCCCTCAACGAGGAACCGAAGGTGGCCGAAGTGGGGACCAAGGTCATCGGTCTGGGGAGGCTTTGCTGCGATCCAGCAGACCCGACAGCAGCAAGGGTTATATAAGCGGGAGAGCGCGTACCTGCAGCGGGAACATGGCCGCCCGATTGCCCACGTAGCCGCGGACGACATGGCTCTGGATGGAGAGCACCCGGCACTCGCCCTCCATGCCGGGCAGGCCGTGGTAGCGCGTGGCACAGGTGGTGTCACGGAATCCGGCTACCCAGGCCGCACACTCTGTCTCCGCTGCCGATTGCCTCTAGCACGCGCAGGCGCTGGGTTTGGACGCGATGCCCGCCTCCTCTGACCTCAACAGGCCGGCTGCTAACCCGCGAGTCCCGAGCGGCGAGGGGCGGGCTGGAGGCGGTCCTGCGCGCAGGCCACGCCCCTCCGGGAAAGGGGACTTGTGGAATTGATCTGGCTGGGATCTTCTGTGTTGCAGCACGTGATCAGTCATCCCTTCTGCAGACTTGAGCATGCACTAGCCAGCACTCCTGGGACACACCCTCCAGTCCATTCCACCTCATTAGCCTGGGCTCTGATTACCCCCTGGGTGGCACTCCTGGGAACTGCTAACCAAAGAGCTCCCACCGAGCTCTAGCGCCCTAAGACTCAGAGATCCGAAGGATCCCTACTGCCACGCGGCCTGCATGGACTCCCGGACCCAGTAAGGCGTGTGCCGGACTGTTTGATCTCAAGCTGCCCCGGAACTGAGCCACGTGTTCCTTCCCAAAATGCCAGCTTGCCCAAAGCTCAAATCCACCTTCTCAGAGCCACTCATGGGGACAGACTGGATGCAGCTGCTGCACTGGCCCTCCTCTTCAGCCCCCACGCAGCACTTACTCTCAGTCCTGGGGAAAGCGAACCTCTCTCCCGTGTCCCATCTCTAGACCTAGCACTTTGGAGCTCCTGTGATCACACATTCCAGGTTCACAGACTGGTGGCAGAGACCAGCATGTCCAGTTTGCAGTATCTCAGTGAGAGTCCTGGGGTACCAGGTCTGCTCTGAGGAGAAGGGAAGCTTAGGGAACAGATAAGAAAGAGGAAGTGTGGATTGAGGTTCATTTGGTGGAGTGCATACCAAGGCCCTAGCTTTAATCCCAGCACCAGAAAAAAAAGAACAGAAAGAGGAACACATTGCAAGAAACGCTTGATTGGATTAATTAAGTGGAGACATTGTAGGAATAATTAAGATAATTGAGTGCTTAGTGATGAAAGTATTTACCTTTCTTCTTCTTCCTCTTTTTTTTTTTTTTTTTTTTGGTTTTTCAAGACAGCGTTTCTCTGTAACAATCCTAGAACTCACTCTGTAGACCAGGCTGGCCTCGAACTCACAAAGATCCGCCTTTCTCTGCCTCCCAAGTGCTGGGATTAAAGGCGTGTGCCACCACTGCCCATCTAAACATTTCTTGTAACACACTGAATTTTGCCAGGAGCAATGGATGCACCTATAATCCTTGCACACACACGTGTATAGGTGTCTGTGCATGTGTGTGTGTGTGTGTATGTGTGTCTGTGTGTGTATGTGTGTGTCTTTTTGCTTTTTCAAGGCATGGCTTCATGATGTCTCACTGCCAGGCTCAGAATTTACAGATATCCACCTGCCTTTGATTCCTGGGATTAAAGGTGTGTGCCACCACACCTGGATCTGCCTTAGTGTATGTATGAATGTATGTATGTGTGACTGTATAGATCCTCTAGTTTACTCTTAGTCTAGGCTGTCTGGCTGTGAATCCCCAGGGATTCACCTGTTTCTACTTCCCCAGTGCTGGGATTACAAATCCTAAATTTTTTTAGGCAAAGATCTCACTATGTAGCCCTTGCTGGACTACAATTTGCTGTGTAGGCTAGGTTGGTCTCAAAATCAGAGCTCTACCTGTCTCTGCCACCTGGGTACTGGGATTAGAAGGGTGTGCCGCCATGCATTTACATTTTACTTATTAATTTAATGTGTGTGGGGGGGAGAGGATGTGTGTATGTGTGGGGAGAGAGAGAGAGAGGATGTGTGTGTGCACGCACACACATGCCACAGTGTACATGTGATATCAGAAGACGACTTGCAGAATTGGTTCTCTCCATCCACCATGTGAGTTCCAAGAATCTAATTACACTGGCAAGTTCTTTGGCCTATTGAACCAACTACATGCCCCAGATTACAAGATCTTTAACCTTTAATGTCTTAATGACTCAGGTGTGGTTTTCTCGTTTAGAATACTGGGCTGAGGGAAGGTTAGCAAAAGAAACTCAAGGATAACTCTTGAAGGGTGGCCATCGTCACTGTTAGAAGAAAAATAAAAGGTTGCCCGGTGTTGATGGGTCTTTGTGGCCCCCTAGCCCAGGGAACTGTGAGATTGTCTCTATGCAACTCTGAGATTCTGGTCCGCAGGACACCTTCAGATAGGCAGTGTGTGGAGACCAGAGCCAAGCCTCAGTTTTCATGCACAGGCTTGTCTCCTCTGTGGGTCTTTTGAGGATTTGGGGATCAAATACAGACAGAAGCTCCCTGGCACAGAGCCTCTGCGAGCAAGTGCCCCCTCCTCAGGGGTTGTGATTCCTTCCTTTTCTCTTTCTGCTCATGGAGCATGGAACCACCTCAGGCCTTTGCCACACTGTGTTGAGCCTTCTCTGGACTGACGTGCACCTGAGTATGCCCAGACCATAGTGGGACTTCTGGAGACCACAGATCAGATAGTAAATCCCTCTTGGTCTCCAGACAGAGTCTCCTTAGCCAGGAAGTAGTGCCTGCCCCGCCCCCTGTTTGTCTGAGGACATTCCTTGGTGGGTTGAGTTGGTCTGTGGCCGAATCTCCCCATATAATCCAGGAAGCTTCAAACTTAGACCCCTGCTCAGCCTCCACAGTTTGGAAATGATAGCAATGACCAAGCTTCCCAGATTTAATCTTTTGCTGAGTCTGACTGACTTTATAGCACACTGGGTGGCCTCTGGCAGCCCTGGGGAGGATATGACAGGGATCATGACCCTTCTATCTGTGGCAAGTGCCTTGCCTATGGGCTGGTTACCATGGTGCCTGCAGCCTTAGCCTCCCAGTTTTCTCAGGAAGCTAGTCTAGAAAAGGCCTTTACTTTCAGCTCTAGGTGAGGGAAGCTCCTAATACACAGACACATGGACAGACACTCACACACACACACACACACACACACACAAACACACACACACTGCCAGCATCAGGCTGTGACTCCAGAGAGCTGGAGAGGCAGCCTTGGCAGTTCACAGCGGCTCTCGGTGACACAGGCCAGCATATTCTCTGGGAACACACAAAGGAGCCTACCCTCACCCAGTCAGGACACTGAGCCAGACACCATGGGGACACAGCACATCCCAGCAAGGCATCATTGCCACAGAGCTCTTGCAGCCTATCAAGCACAAACTGGCAACTGACTTCTCTCTGTCTGAAGCTGCGGCTAGGCTATAGCGAGATCCTCCAAGGTCAGGACAGCCAGAGACTGCAGCCATGAGACTGGTTTACACAGCTGCTGTCGAGAGCCTTAGAGGGGATGTTGTTATTTTACCAACTCCCCAACTAAATACTGTGTTTCCATAAATGAAACCTGAGCCAAGCCAAAGTTTTGTTTCAAAGCACAATGAAGCTGAATCTGTGGTCCCAGCACTAGGAAGGCTAAGGCTGAAGGATCTCAAGTTCAGGTTAGCCCAGGCTACCTCAGAAGAACTTGTTTCCATAAACAAAATGAAAAAAAAACAAAAACAAACAAACTCAAAGCTAGAGGAAGAAAAGTAACCAGACTTGTCTTCTCTGAGGCTGCAAACATTGCCAGAGCCTATACCATGATCTCCTGTCCCCCTAGAGACTCCTTGGGATGGGGCAGGCCACCTCTGAGGCAGGAGAGCACTCAGATTCCACGAAGCTTTTGGCCAGCAGGCATGGTGACGTGTGGCAAACAACTGGGTATAGTGACACAGACCTGTATCTCTGTGCCACATGAGACTGAGGCAGGAGGATCCCTGAACCAACCTGAGCAACACTGTTAGATTATCTTGAAGGGTAATGGGGGGAGGGTAAGAAGAAGAAACTGGCAAACTATGTTAATTGAATTTATTTTGAAATATATATATAATTTCGACACGTGACCAGTATAAAAAGTTGAGGCCATGTGCAGTCGTTTTCCCATTGTCTCAGCCACATATATTTTATATCCTTGACCTGTGTCACAGGGAACCAGTCCACCAGTGGCTCGGTCTGTGATAAACACAGAGGCTGTTCCACACCCAGAGATGAAAGGATGTTTACCCCAGGGCAAGTCACAGTAGGAACAGAGGGACCCTAAGGCAACAGGCATAAAGCCTGAGTGTGGCCGACTGGGTGCCCTCCACTCAGGACGGGTGTGAAGACCTGTGGGAACATCCAGGAGTGTGATACTTCAGAGAAGTCCAGGTTAAACTTTGTGATGGCTTCTGGGGAAAAGGATAGGGTCAAGGGAGAGGAGGCAATGGGTGGGCCCCAGCTGGAGGAACGCTGGACTTGAGTCTCCAGGAAAGCAGGGGGGTGGGACTGGCTTCTGTTGACAGAAGAGGTGACAAGGGAGAGTGAGGACAGAAGAAAGGTCACCATCAGTGTGTCCTCTACTCAATTGCTTTATATTTCTGGTCCTGACAATGTTATGGGTCACCTGATCTTCCGAAAGGAGCTGGAGAGCTGGGTCTGATGACCTAGATCTAACATCTCAGACTCAGGATCTGAGGCAGAAGGCTTCCCATGAATGCCAGACTGGCCTGGTCTACAGAGGAAGACCCAGTCTCAGAAGGAGGGTGGGGAGAAAAAGGTGGGTAAAAGGCCAAAGAGAGGAGAGAAGAATGAGCAACTGGGAGTAGACAGCCTTTGCCCTCTTAGGCAGGTGAGCCCCCTCCTGCATGTGGTGGATAGCTCTCAAGGGGACTTGAGGGATTCTGTGGGGTAATGCTCTTATATACTGCAAAGATTCATCATGTCTATTGTTTTAATAAAATGCTTATTGGCCGGGTGGTGGTGGCGGCGCACGCCTTTAATCCCAGCACTTGGGAGGCAGAGGCAGGCGGATATCTGGGAGTTCGAGGCCAGTCTGGTCTACAAGAGCTAGTTCCGGGACAGGCACCAAAGCTACAGAGAAACCCTGTCTCGAAAAACAAAAACAAACAAACAAAAATGCTGATTGGCCAGTAGCCAGGCAACAAGTATAGGTGGGGCAACCAGACTAGGAGAATTCTGGGAAGAGAAAAGGCAGAGATGCAATCATCATCCAGACACAGAGGAAGCAAGTTAGTCCCAGGACAGCTAGGGCTACACAGA